ATAAATAAAAAATTAAATAGTAAATGAATAGATCATAAGTAAATCGATGCTAATGAATAAATAATCATTACAACTTGTATCGATACCAAATTTCCTTTCCGTGAAATAGTATCACATGACAAAGGGTCGCGGGAAATTGCATGAAATAATAGCCATAACAAATAGCGAATGTAGCGGACATATACACAGGACTATAATTTTCGTATGCAGTAACATTTAGAGCATTAGTTTGTGGATCAATGACACTTTTTTGATCATATCTATAAAAAGAAAAATAAGAAAAATAAAATAAGTAAATTAAAAAGTGTTATCCTTATAAATTTAATTTAATATGCTTAATATAATTTAACAAAAAAAAACTTACGTTTGAGCATCTTTATCGAATGAATGAGTTGACATGAAGGGGAATTTTTGGGCATCACTATATAAAGTTGACAAATTAATTTATTAATTAATTAATTGATAAATTTTGTGAAATTAATAACAAATCTTTAAGACAAATAATAACTAATTGATTACTTACAAGACATTATTAAAGTACGCTAACGGAGCAATAACCCATATTGCTAAAATAATACCAACAAAATAATTTACTTGGGACCACCTAAATTGCAAGAAAATAAGTAAATAAAAAATGTACCAAATTAAATAAAGGGCACACTAATGAGAATTATAAACAAAAGGTTACCATGGAGTGTATAGGGGAAAAACTTGACCAATTGCGTTCCAATCAAAGGAAAAACTAAGCATTCCAGAACCTTTTTGAGCACTTCCTAATATCCTTGCCGTATTATTATTTGGAACCATAAGACATAACAAAGAAGCGCTAATTAACCAAGGAAAGATGTATCCTGGTATAAACTGCCAAACGAACATTGCAGCAAATGCGATATAAAAAAAGCGAATTCTATCATTCATTTCCGAAATATTGCCGTGTAGTGTGTTATACATGCTAGCAAAGACGAGAGATTGAGGCCATAACATGTTAGCGGGACGAACCAAAACTAAAAGTTTATGTAATTAAAAATGAAATTAGAGCATTAATTGAATGTAAATTGTTTTGAGTAAATATTGCATTTCAAATAATTATTTTCAGATAACAATGCATACATTTTCGACAAAAACCGGCGAGTCCATATCCAAGCATTTGTGTGCTAAGCAGCAACAAGAAACCAATTACGAAATTGACATGAGTGCCATAGAATAATTCTTGGATTGAGATAATATCCTATAAATATGAAAAAAACATATATATTAAAAAGAAATATTGAAGATATAAGAAAATAAACGGAACAAAAAAAAAAAATAAAATAAATTTGAATCATACCACAGCATACGCGCTAATACCACCCGCAGTAGCAGAAGCTACTATGCATACATGTTCTTTATAGTTAAAAGGACCTACAAAAATTTGCACCAAACAGTTACACATGATACTTATACTGTACACGCACAAGATTCAAATATGGATATTTGTTAAGTGACTAACCTGGATTTAGATTAAATTCCCACTTTCCAATACGAAATATCCTATTCGGTAGGAGCCTTTCCATCCATTTTCCAAAAATAAAGGACGCAAGTATCACAAAGAACATAGAATAAGTCAAACTATTTGCACGAAAGAAGTAGAATACTGATACAAAGGCACCCAATGCTGTAAAAATCTACGATACATAAATCATGAGGTAATAAGGTATGTAAGTAATTATAGTTATTGTATAATCGCATGGATGCAACGACATGTGACATATAATATATAATATAGTCATACACGTATCCATGTATCTATTTAATATATCATAATATACATAAAACTTACGGTGCTTAAAACCCAAAATCGTAAAGTCAAACTATTTAATGTTGGATCATCATCCGTACTAACGGCCTAACAATTTAATTTTATTTTAAGACGACGCAAAAGAAGGCATTGAAATAAATGAATAAAAAGGTCGATAACTT